CAAAACGATTGTTGTTGACAGGCGATATAGGTTAGAAGGACCATTTTTATGGCTATGGAGGTTGGAAGGATCGTAGTCGGTGAAGGAGGTCAGAAGGACCATAGTCGGCAGACGACGGAGGTTTGAAAGAGAGTTGTCGGTGGACGATGGAAATAAAAAAGATCGTTGTTTGGAGACAAAGGTCGGAAGGACCGTAATCAAAGAAGGAGGCTGGAAGGACCGTAGTCAGCGAGTGACGGAGGTTGGAAAAACCTTTGTCGACGGGCGACGAAGGTCTGAAGTACCGTAATTAGAGGGTGATAGAGGTTGAAAATGCAAAACTCCTTAAGTAAAAGAAGTTAAACTCTCAAACATCAAGACATATTTTGGTGTAATGTTTGAAATTTCATTAATATACTTCGTAGTTAAGCGTGCTCATCCCAGATTAATTTTGTGATGGCTGACCTACTTGGAAGTTGCATCAATAGTATAAAACTGTGAGGCTCTTAGGTCAAAGCGGATAATATATCAATATTTAAGAGTTTCATATGTTACAAGAAAGATTGTAGTCTGATGACAAAGGTCAAAAGGATCATTGTAGGGTGGAAGTCCAATAGTAATTAGAATCCAGATGGAAGTCCAACATTAGTGGCTGGGTAAAAGTTCAATGTCAGTTGGTAGCCAAGCGTAATTCCGACGACAGTTGTGAGCCGGGTGGAGGTCTGACAAAGTCCTATGATAGTTGATAGCTAGGAGAAAGTCCGACGATAGTCGGTGGCCGAGCATAAGTCTGGTATCCTTCGATGGCTAGGTGGATATCTGAAGGCTAGCAAAAGTATAGTGTTGAGAAGAAGTCTGACGTTGGGAAGATGTCCGACGTCGAACAAAAGTCCAGCGTTCGACAATGCCCAAGTGAAAGTCTAGCGTCTTGTAGAAATCTAACGATAAGAGGAAGTCCGATGTCGGGCGAAAGTCCAACAAAAGTCCGATGATGGGCAGAAGTCTCGTGTCGGGTAGAGGTCCGCTATCAGGTAGAAGTTTGACAAAAGTCCAGTGACGGGCAGAAGTCCGACGTTTGGTAAAAGTTCGACGTCGGTCGATGGCAAGGAGGTGGTTGAGGAGGAGCTTTGTGGCAAGAGAACTCTTCCTTCTCTTCCTTATATTCTTGCTTAGGCATCCTTCCTCCTCCCTCCTCTCAATGAAGAATGATGATTCTATTTATATTTTTTTGAGAGTGGCATCACGTAAATACAAGTGAGATCAAGGGCAAATTGGGAGTAGTTTGAATGGATGGTCGATGTTGATTCCCTTGATCGTAGGCCATTTACCGGGCATTTGAATATCTTAATGATATTGGTCTTGTTGGATTGGCCTCATCGAGCCACTCGATTCGTCTATATGCATATCATGTTTGGAAACTGTTTGATAATCCAAATTATGGTTTGAATCTTCCAAAGGTGTTTCGAGTCTTTGATTTGGACCCATTTAGGCTCGGATTGAATTGAATTTATTGTTGTTGTGTTTTTCTTTTCGAAACGTTCAGTTTGATAGTAAGTTTGTTGAAATCAGAGTTCAAATGGTCTTAGATTTAATTTTTTAAGTTTCTAACTTGATTTTGCCTTGAGATTCATGTCAGATCAAGATAATTTTTTAATGATATATCAATGATATTTACAAAATATGATCTATATCTCCCCATAATAAGGTATTTATTAAATACAAAAGTTTACACAACTAAAGTCAAACATATAGTTGTAGTATAGTGGTGAGTATTATCGCCTGTCCGTGGATGACCCGAGTTCGAACCCCGGCAATGGTGCTAAGAATTTGATGGGGGAACTTTGACCGATGTTGTTTGTTT